CATCTGCCGGCGGCTCGCGGTGGAGAGGGTGAAGGCCAGGAACGCCAGCTTGTCGGACGACGAGGCGGAGGAGCGGGCCAAGGTGCTCTTTGAGCGCGCCGCCAAGCGCTACTTCCTGCGCTCGTTGCTCATCGGGAAGCGCTTGAGGCCCAAACGGCTTTGGGGCTACTACCTCTACCCCGACTGTTACAACTACGATTACAACCAGGTAGGCTTGCAAAGCAGCCCACCGGGCCAAGGTGCTCTTTGAGCGCGCCGCCAAGCGCTACTTCCTGCGCTCGTTGCTCATCGGGAAGCGCTTGAGGCCCAAACGGCTGTGGGGCTACTACCTCTACCCCGACTGTTACAACTATGATTACCATGCTAAATAATGTCCATCCATCCATCCATCCATTTTCCGCCGCTTATCCGGGGTCGGGTCGCGGGGGCAGCAGGTTTAGGAGGGAAGCCCAGACTTCCCTCTCCCCAGCCACTTCTTCGAGCCCTTCCCAGAGGATCTCGAGGCGTTCCCAGGCCAGCTGGGTGACCATAGTCTCTCCGGCGTGTCCTGGGTCATCCCCGGGGTCTCTTGCCAGTGGGACATGCCCGGAACACCTCACCGGGGTGGCGTCCGGGAGGCATCCTCATCAGATGCCCGAGCCACCTCATCTGGCTCCTCTCGATGCAAAGCAGCCCAAAGGATTTAATTGAAGGTGAAGGTGGGGGACGTGGAAAAGGTGGAAAGATTTTTTTGGGGGGTTGTTTTTACGAAAGCCTTTTATAATGTTTGCAAACGATGGCGGAGGAGATGAGGTCCGTCCCCCACCATCGGGTTTGACGAGAAAACGAGTGAGCGGGAGAAATGGGGTGCATATTGTTCGGGGAAGGTGGCAGAGTAGCCACTTGGAAAGGGCTCACAAGCAGACCTCCCATCAGGTTTGCGCAAGGAGTTTGCGCACAGGTTTGGAGGGGGGGAAAAAAACTTGCTGTGGTTTAGTGGCAATTTCAGCAGCCTTTTCCCGGCCGGGTTCTCGATTTCCCCGCCTCGGTCGAATGACATTTAAGAGTCGGTTAATTCCCGCGGGAAGAATCGTCCTGAATTTTTGCACCCTTCCGAGCAGGACATGAACACGTTCACCGGCCGCTGTCCCGACATCGAGAAGGAGCGCAACGACGAGCTCTCCTGGCTCTGGAACGAGTCCACTGCCCTTTACCCGTCCATCTACCTGGAAGCGGCGCTGCGGGACTCCGCCCAAGCGCGACTCTTCGTGCGCCATCGCCTGGTTGAAGCCGCCAGGGTGTCGCGGCTCGCAAACGGCTCGTACGCCGTCCCCGTCTACCCTTACGTCCGTCCCGTTTACAAGGACAGCAAGGACGAATACATGTCGGAGGTGAGGGTGTCGCAAAAAAAAAAAACGGACGCCTTGCCGGGCGCCCCCCCCCCCCCCCCCCCCCCCCCGCCTCTGCTTGTTTTCAGATGGACCTGGTCAGCACCATCGGTGAGGCGGCCGCCCTTGGCGCCGCCGGCGTCATTTCTTGGGGAGACATGGATGTCACCGACAGCGAGGTACAAAGTAACGTCTGCGGGTTCCAAGTTGACGCCTTGACGTGCGGACCAGCGCGTCGACAAAAACGAGACTCGTACCGGCGGAATTTCCCCGGCGATTGATTCAAAATGACTCGCGCTCAGATTTACGACTCTTTGCGAGGCACTCGAGACGTGTTGTTCGCCGCTTTTGGTCGTATCGGACGCAAGACGACTCCGAATGTAGAGCGTACGAGGTGCGGGCAGGAAAACGTTAGAATGAAGGGCCAGGTGGGAGCTGATGACGATGTGACTGGCGGGGGGGAAGGTGGGATGTCATTTGAGGCGACAAAATGATTCGCAACAAGTACACCTAATGATTGACAGCTGGACATGCAAGGAGCTCATTTGCTGACCTGGAGGGGGGGGGGCAGTGAACAAGGGACGAGGACCTCTCAAATGAAGTCTCGCTGCAGCCGTTTCCCAACATGGAGAAGGCCGAGTACCGCCGCTCTTCATTTTTCATTCCGATCTTGTGAAATCCGCAAGTCCACTTTTCCGCTTAGTCACTTGTGAACGCCCGTTTGGCTCTGACGCAATTCCGTAATTCGTCATATTTCCATCCCGCAATGAGATTCCGACTCAATTTGAGAGCAGCACAAAAGGCATCTTGGGAATTTTTTTTTTTTTTTTTTCCCAGCCAAGTCACCCAACCTGCGCATCCTTCGGGTGAGCAAGCGCCATGGCCAGATCTTGCGCGCGTTCTTGGTTGAGGACGAGACTCGGGCCGCCAAGTTTCGTGACTGAACGAGAACGCCAATTGAGAAACGGCCGATGTACATTTGTAAAATCGGATCAAAGAAATGAGCTGTGGAGTGTGATTTCAGCCAGACTTACCGCCGTCTTCCCGCAGGACTCGTGTTTCGATGCTCGGCGCCACCTGGAGGATGTGATGAACCCGTACATCCTCAACGTCTCCACGGCGAGCGAGATGTGCAGCGACGCGCTCTGCCAGAACCGCGGCCGCTGCGTTCGCAAGCGCTGGGACGACGACGTCTACCTCCACCTGGACCCGCGCCGCCACCGCATCCAACGCCGCCGCCGCGGCGGCCCGCTCGCGGTGATCGGCGGCGGCCTGTCCCAGGACGACGTGGACTGGTTCGACCGCCACTTTGACTGCATGTGCTACGACGAGCGGCCGTGCCGCTCAACCAAGGACGTGAATGCTGTCCAGGACAACCGCTACGCCAAGATGAGCTCGAGCGGGCGTCGCCTGTCCGCGGGGCCGCACCTGCTCCTGATGACCGCCGCTACGGGTCTCCTCCGAAACGCGGAGCGCTAGCGATGAGGCCACCGTTGCCGTTTTTTTTTTTTTCCTGTGCCGCTCTGCCTTGCATATTCACCTCATCTTGCATCTCAAGCTGTTGACATGGACGCTTTCCTCCATCTTGCCACTCACATCTTAACTTGTGCCAACGGTTGTCCGGTAGTGCCACTATTTAATAATACAAAATTTGTGTGGACAATATTTATCTGTGGTTCTTATTGTTGCAGCTCCGAAGCAAACAGAGCTGTCGTGGTGGTTTTCAGAACATTTACTTTATTTATTAGTTTAACACTGAAGCGAATACAGACACGTCGATGTTGGACTACGCGCCTTTTCCACTGCCGTCCAACTCGAGAGACGTTCAAAGACCGCCTCAGAAAATACGTAAATTAACGATTACTTCAAAGACACTCAGGAAAGCAAAAATAATGCAACAAAACAGAAAATCAAGAGGGAGGAACATCTGACCAACCAGACGGCATCAAAGATTTTTTTTAAAGGTTTTTGTGAATTGAAGTGAAGTATCCCGTACACCCGGGAAGCAATTTCGACCAGATGTGTTTTGCGTCGAGAGGAAGCGAAATTGTGCACTTCTGTCAGGACAAACCACAGCCGCAGTGCAAGTTTGTTTCCTCTAAGGGGCGCCAGAACTCATTTTTACATATTAAAACCAAGCGCAACAGGAAAAAAAAACAAAACGTTTTTCGTTTTGTCAGAACATTTTTTTTTTTTTCCTGTGCCGCTCTGCCTTGCATATTCACCTCATCTTGCATCTCAAGCTGTTGACATGGACGCTTTCCTCCATCTTGCCACTCACATCTTAACTTGTGCCAACGGTTGTCCGGTAGTGCCACTATTTAATAATACAAAATTTGTGTGGACAATATTTATCTGTGGTTCTTATTGTTGCAGCTCCGAAGCAAACAGAGCTGTCGTGGTGGTTTTCAGAACATTTACTTTATTTATTAGTTTAACACTGAAGCGAATACAGACACGTCGATGTTGGACTACGCACCTTTTCCACTGCCGTCCAACTCGAGAGACGTTCAAAGACCGCCTCAGAAAATACGTAAATTAACGATTACTTCAAAGACACTCAGGAAAGCAAAAATAATGCAACAAAACAGAAAATCAAGAGGGAGGAACATCTGACCAACCAGACGGCATCAAAGATTTTTTTTAAAGGTTTTTGTGAATTGAAGTGAAGTATCCCGTACACCCGGGAAGCAATTTCGACCAGATGTGTTTTGCGTCGAGAGGAAGCGAAATTGTGCACTTCTGTCAGGACAAACCACAGCCGCAGTGCAAGTTTGTTTCCTCTAAGGGGCGCCAGAACTCATTTTTACATATTAAAACCAAGCGCAACAGGAAAAAAAAAAAAAAACGTTTTCGTTTTGTCAGACCGCCACTTTTCCTCTTGCCTTTTCTATTTATATACTCAGCATTCATCATCCCCAAGAAGCCGCAACCGCCCCGTTTTTGTGTGTGAGGGAACGTGAGCTTTGGCTAAACGCGAAACGGACTTTCTGTTAAGTGTCTCCCAAGAGTGGAGCGATCAAAAGCAGCTCACGTCATTTAAGTCTTATCGAATTGTGCGTAATCTGCTTGGACGCGAAATGGGGCTTGGGTGGGGGGGGGGGGTCACGAAGAGCTTAATTGTCTGCATTCTTTGTCTGAAGCTTTTTAGGTCGCCAGCTGCCCAAAGGGATTCTCCTCTTGGGGAGTTTGCGCCCCACCAATCCCCTTTTCCATGCTTGGACCATCGGGGGGGAGGGGCAACACAATCCGGAATCCCAACGAGGCCAAGTTGGATACACTAGCGCTCATTGTTCCGCCGAAGCTCCTCTCGTGTGCTAAATGGACCGTCAGAACATTTCTCACAATATTATCTCACAAAACGCCTTGATGAGGCGCTGGGGGAGGGGCGGGTGGGCGTCGGATGGTTGGTGGTCATGTGACTGAAACCAGAAGGTGCAGGTCTGATGAAAGGGTGACAACAGCAGCTAAAGGAGGCGAGCGGCCGTTCCAAGATGCAATCCCACTGAAATTTGGTGGTCGGGGCCAGTGGGTGGTCACGCCAAGGGGCTGGTGGAGGGTCAGTGACTGGAAGGCCGGAAGAGCAACACAAAAACAAGTGAGACCATCACCTGATCCAGACCACCATTTGGTCCAGTCGGTGGAAACTCCCCAAGAGCACGAACCTGCCAGGACCTCGGCATTTTCCGGGTCAGCGTGCGTACATGTTGTTCTGCCGTCCCCGCCGCCCCCATTGTGTGCCGATGAATGGGGGGCTGTCTAATTGCCGGAGGAGCCAAGGGAGGCACCGGCCGGGTCCACAAAGACCCAAACACGCAGCACGCAGGCCTGCCAAAACCACACCAAATGGCCGTTTTTTTGCGGGATGCGGTGGCATTCCGTGATTACGATCAATGAACACGAACAAAGACACTCTCGACAATGGCGGTTTTGCATTTTCCACGCATCGTCCACGCAAGTCGCCGGGCTGAACTGAAGTGCCATTGAGAGCTGCGCTGGGACTGTCAGCCACAGGCCGTTTGGGATATTTTGGTGCTTGTTTGCGAGGCCAGAAGGAACACAATGCGGCAGTGTCAGAACACTGTGGGCCCGTTCACACGGCGGCGGGCGGGCCCGCAGGACAACGGCGCCCCTTGTGCTCAAGGCCACCAGCCCGAAGGGTCTGAGAAGTGGTCCAAGCGATGGGGAGATGACCCCCCTCAAAAAAAAGAGGCGGAGTTCCAGCTGAGTGACAGCTTGCAAATTCAAATCACGAAAGAACGAATTTGAGCCGTACTAGAAAAAGGCGGCGACATCATCAAACGTGGGAAAATTGGATCTGAAAACGAGACTCCCAATCGAGGTGCGAGCGTGAGCGCGGATGGTGGTTCGCAAACCGGTTCAGGGTGTCCCCCGCGACAGCCGGGAGAGGCTCGGGCGCCCATCAGGAAATGGATGGATGGATTTGAAAACGCCAAATGACATCGAGACTTCTTTGTTTTTTCTCATTGCGGAGCACTTTGAAAGCACCGATGGACAAAATACACATTTCGGAACCTTTTTTTTTTTTTTTTTTAATGATCCTTAACGTGTCTAAAAACGTGGTCCACAAGCACACGGCGACATGACACACGAAACGATAATCGTGACACTTGGCGATCGCCACCGACAGCAGCAAAGGCGCCCGTGGAACAGAAAGCAAAATAAGCCGGCCTGACGACTTTCATCTGCGTAAACGACGAGCGGCGGCGGCGGCCGCCGTTGATGCGAGCTGCAGCCGCGACGAGTGACCACTGCAACTGGTACAGCCAGTGGGAACTAGCGGTGACTTTGACGAGTGACCACCGAGTCTGGCGGCGACTGTTGTAGAAGACGAAAAAGAAAACAAAAACCCACACTTTCAATCGTTCATCTGTGGCTTATTTGAGTGGTCGATTGATCCATGACATGACTCGCGGCGGCGGCATCTGCCTGGGACGACCACGCGGTTAGCCTACTCGCTCCGGTTGCCACGGTTACAGAAACAAATCGGTCATCAAGTACAGCGACTGTATCGATCGACACCACCCGGTGGCTCTTTGATCTCAGCAGCGCGTCGCCACCGCAGCGTAGGTGGCGGACGCGTCCCCGTCGGCATCGGCGGGGTCACAGGGCGTTAGCTCCAGCTCGTCGTTGGCGCCG